ATCCCCGTCGTGTGGAAAAAAGAAAAAGAGAGACCGCACGAGCTCGGGTATTTGTTACCCCGGTGGTTGTGCACGTGTGCCGGCGCGTGGCATGCCGTTGATACATACGGCGGATGTTTTTTTGAGTTCCGATATGGTTACAAGCAATGCAGTGCGATAAAGCCCCTCGAAATTGCCCCCCAATCACGGGAGAGCAGAACACACACCCTGATTGTACTGTTCGTTCCAAAACTCCCCGTGAGGCTCCGTGCACAGCAGTTTTTTTTTTCGTTGTGACGATGTGAGGGTGGAATGGGGCTGGCTCCCTGCAGCAGTATCGTCGTCGTAGGTTGCCAAAGACTCACGTCGCGCGTATGCTGATAAGAAAGAAATGGCCACAGCATGTGATCGGTTGCCGGTACTCTGTGGGTTCTCAGAAAGCTAAGGTGGTGCTATGCGTGAGCGCTCGTGTGTCGGCTCTGCTGACCATCGCGAGATTCAACCGGTTTGGATGCTGCTGGCTTTGTCGGTCTTCCTTCCATTGACGCGAACCACCCCCCTGCCCCCCTTCTCTCTCTCCGTGCCGCTTTTCTCCCTCTCTCTTTTTCTCGCTCTCTCGCTCTCTCGCTCTCTCGCCCTCTCGCCCTCTCTCTTTGCGTATCCTTTTTTTTTTTTTCCAGGCCGACAAGATGGGAATGGGAAATCTCCGATACACCGTGACCTTCTACCCACAGGCCTGCCTAGTGCATGTCAACCTCGCCCCGCTCGTGGTGACGCTGGTACACCAAGATGGCCAGGATGACAGCAGGGACAAGCTCAACTTCGGCGACGCCCTAGATTTGATCCCTGAAATGTCGGACGCACTAGAGCCTCTGCGGAAACAGGTGAGAGGGGAAGGTGTAATAGTGCGGAGAGGGGCGGGGTGGTCTCGGCGTGTGTGAGAGAGAAAGAGCCTTAAGGCAGACAGAAACCCACAGAAAGAGTTTTTTTCTGCCAGAGAGTACGCTGTTATAGCAGCAGCATACATTCATGACAAAGCGGTCAGGATTCCAGGTTTGGCATGTTCTAGCATTCCTCTTACGGTACCGCCGCCCTTCCTTCCCTCCGCCCTCGCTTTGTTTTTCGCCTGGCCCACCGTTGTTGTTTCGATCACACGGCGTCGCGACTCAACTCAACTCAACTCAAGGTGTTGAGAGCGTGTTGGGAGGAGAACTCGGCTGCATAGGAGCACAGGAGCGGTCACGGGTCGCCTAGAGGGTGGGGAGAGCGGGGCGGGGGGGAGGATTTCGAGGGGCGAAGTCTGGGAGGGACTCCATCCCTCTCTTGACTATTTCGCCGGGTGTTGGAGCTTTTTTCCTCCGGAGAGAGGTGGTTCGATTTTCTACCATGCCAATGCCCTTCGGCTGTTGCGCCGCCGAAGGTAGCCTGGGCTGGGGCCTGGGGGCGCCGTAGAGAGGAGCCAGGGAAAGCGATTGGGGGGGGGGGGAGGTGATGATATGCGCCAACCCCCTCCCTTTCTACCCTACCGTCACCGCCTAGTGTCGTGTTGTTAGGTTAGTTAAAATCTAGATGTTTACGTAAGCGGTCGAATGACAGCACGATGGGTGCCAGAGTGTATCATGAACGCGTCGTGCTTGTTGTGCTTGGCTATGGATTCAAGCACGCGTTCAGGGTCCCCTCCTGTAGTCGGTACGTTGTGCTTGGTCTGTGTTGTTGGATGTTCTGCGGTTGTTCTCAGCTTGTTCGTCCCCACTTCTCACTACATCACGCAAAGAAGTATCGTATGTGTGTCACATGGTATTTATTGAGCGACTCAAGCAAGCAGTTGTTCAATCAGAAATATGAAGCCGACGCCAATTATCTGGTTGCCTTTCGATCTCGATTGCGTCGGATATTCATGTGTGATGCGGATATTACCTGTAGGTTGTTGGTGTGGTTCTTTCTTTTCTTTTAAGATTCTTGGATATGTTTTAGCCAGCGCTTGCCTGTCAACGCTCGATCCAGTTGTTTTATTTTGTACGTTGTTGGTTTTCCGATATCTTGTTTTCAGTCAGTCACATGGTTACGGTAACGGATACTGAAAAAATGGGGCGGAAGGGATGGGAGCGGGAATCACCCTCTCCCCCCTCTCCCGTCTGTCGATCTTGCACGTAAGGAGCAGTAATTTGAGCCCCGTTTAGTTTCGCGAGGTTTGTTTTTAGCTGTTGCCTTCCGGATGCGGCTTGCAAAAATAATGCTAGTACCATATGCAATCCTAGTGTAGTGGATTGGGGAGGGGCTTGAGACCATTCCCCCAGCACTCATGAAATAGATACGAGCAGCACTCGTTTCCTTTTTTTCAGGGTGGGTGGGTGGGTGGGTTTAAGTTATAGGGTAAAAACCCACGTGCTTGGCTGATTGATCGCCGAGCGTTTTGGGGTATGTCGTTTCGTCGTTCGAAGGGCAGAAAACAGACCGACAGCGAAGCGTACTACTTTTGCTGGTAAGAGGATGATGCCTTGCCGCCAGCTTTGGGGATGGATAAGAAATGCTTTTACGGTGTAGTTGATTCTTACGTTTTGTGGATTGTGTCTCACTCTCCTTTTCATGGAGTATAAAAACGCGTGTGCCATGGACATGACTAACATGTTCTCAAGATACAGCGGCATGGTGCTTTTTTCGCTATGGCTGTGTGACCTTCGATGCCGAGCGAGCGAAATGCAAAAACTGGTGTCTGTATCGAGCGGGTCCTCTTGCTCGGTTTGCGCTTGAAGGGGGCGCCCAGACGGGATCAATTTTTTTTAGCGGGGGGATGGGAGTGCATGGGTGGGTACGTACCTGGCGTCTTATTGGAAGTGGTGGTGGTGGGAGTCGAGCCTGCCGTTTAGCTGTGGCTACGGCGGGCACAAGCCGTTTCAATCGACAGCACTTGTTCCGTCCAAGGTTGGCGAGGTTGGCTGAGAGGGGTTCGATGTTCGTTTGACCCCTTGGCCCTCCCCCCGCTCACTCTTCGCTTGTCGGCCCGTTTCCCCAGCGTTGTTGCACGTTTTGAATTGTTGTTTTGAGCTGGTGTACGATATGAAACGCCCGGTGGCCACGTCCTGTGTCGTTGAGGCGGTGGCCAAATAAAGTAGTCTTGGCGCGCCACTTGTTGAGTTTCACGGGCATTTGGCAAAAAAAAAGTAGGTGTGAGTGGTTGTTTTCGCGCGACTCTCAGCATGCATTCAGCACATTCTTTGCCCGCACCATATTATTTTGTTTTTTCTCTGATGGTGTTTTTTTTTTTTTCATGTGGTTGTGGTGCCGTGGCCATTGCTTTTTGTCCTTCCTCAGCGGGCTCATGTACTACTCGGAGCGGCTTGAGTGAGGAGTGAGTGTGACGCGGTAACGTCGCGCGTTGCGGGCAGCATGTAAAGGACAGCGATGAAAAAAAAGTATCCTACGGTTTGGTCGAGATCTGTTACTGGGACGTTCATAGGCGTTGATTTATAAATGGGGTGGTTTGTGTGGGATTTGTTTGCAAGCAGAAGATATGCTTAGATGCTGCGTTTCGATGCTGCGCCTAGTGGTACTCTGCAAGCCAACCATGGAAAGCTTCGGGTGCAAGATGACTGACAAGCTGGTGGGTAAAATGCGAAGAGGGTGCACTGACGAGAGAGGGTTTAACGACCTGCGACGTTGATGTGCGCCGCAGCACATGTATGCATATGATTGCAGATGCGGCGGCCTCGCTCGTGCTTGCTCTTGATAGCACGCATGTGGATTACAAGCTACCTTTGGCTGCCTTACGTGCACGGTCTTGACTCTTCGCTTGATTCAGTGTTCAAGTGTACTTGATTTGAACGGTGCACGTATCGTGTTCCAGGTGCTCTTGACTTGCCTTGCCTACTTGCGATGGATGGATGTACTTGGTGCACGACAAGCATCGACATATGCCTGCTCTACCTTTCTTTCCAAAAGGTAGACGATGGGGGGGGCAGACGTACGTATGTGTATACTTGAGGCTTGGTTGCGCCCAACATCATCATGCGTGGTGGACGCGAATCGCGAATGGGAAACACTGCAACATCCGAATATATCCTCGCCCCATCGCAATAATATTGATTGGCATAGAATGGACCGGACACATGTCGCAACGAAGCGACGCCTCGAGCATCATTGGTCAACCGACGCCCCGGGCAAAAATTGACTGCGTTATTGAGGCTGCTGGCACGCACGTAGGCTCAATCATTAAGTGACCTGGTAAAGGCAGCAACCGTTCGAATCGAAGCCCGGCTAGGGGGCAGTTATTGCAGCCTTACGTTGCGTTTCGATGCAGCCTAGAAAAAGAGAAAATCGGTGTTGTTGTCGATCATCAGCATGTGATCAGTTTTTTTGTTGCCCCTTTCTTTCCATCTTATTTTTCTGCTTACAGCAGCACGCGCTCAAACATCGACATGCAGAAAAAACCCGTACATGAACAATCACTAAGCTTCCCCGATGGTGGGGAAATGCACCAGCTGAAAACGGCGAAAGTCCTGCTCCGCGCCAAGGAGCAACAGCAGAATACGCTCACCAGCACCGCCACGTTTCGTTCTTGAAAGGCAAGAACCACCGAAAACACATTAAAACAAAAAAAAACACCGTCGTGTGAGACTACTCGTGATCATGTCCTGTCGACGACGGCACGGACGGAAACCTACGTCAAACATGGACAAATAACTCTTGCTTCGCCTGTCCATGTGGAAATAACTGCTGCGTCACCATCCCCCAGCGAAAGGCTCTCTCTCAGATGACTCTACCACGAGGAGGTTCTCTGGCGCGTTGAACCAACCAACCTGTCACCGACACTCAATGGCCACTAAATACGACTGACTGCTCGTTTGTGTACCCCCTTCGTAGAGAAGGGAAACAGCAGCAGTGTTGCTAGGCACACACTGTTGAACACTATTGACAACCAATTACTAGCTAACTACACACCTTTATAGTTTTTAGTGTAGACGCATATCTATTCGAAATCAACTAACTAATTTTCTACCGGCTGCTACATTCATTCCTGGGCCAACCCTACACAGAGTCGAGCTTGGCCAGCCAGCCACACGCCTACAAAAGATTAATCGTGGACATCCTCACTACACTGGGTTCAATGGCAACTACTTGACTCCCCGACAGAAATCTTAATCTTGGTGGGAGGTATTTTTTGCCTACTGCTGTAAGGGGAGTCGCCCCCAGCTTACATGTTTTTCGAGAAAACACACACCAGAGAGGGCGTCGACAGCCAAGCATCAGGCCGGGAACCGCACAACGTAATCAATCCTTAAACTAGACTAATACCACATGTTACAAACAAGACACGCGGGGCGGCAAATGTTTCACACAGAATTTCAACATTCAGAGCGAGGACCGCCCACTACAGGAACAACAGCGAGCAGCTGCACCTCGTCCATGATGTTTCTGCATGGATGGATGGATGGTCATCAGTACGCACGCGCACGCACGCACAACAAGCGACAACACCAAACTAATCACCTAGACTACATGGCTGTGTACATTTTTTTTATACATTTTTCCTCGCACTCCTCAGCTGGGGGGGGGCTTGCAAGGCGTGGGGGAGAGGGAGCGTCTAACACAACCAACCGAGGTGGTGGCGGGAGAGCCGAACACACTACAATTACTTTTTACGGCAACTGCAGCTCATTGAACTAAATACGCAGAGCCGAGATTCCTTTGAGGCCGTTCATGAAAGCTAGACCGCCGACCACCAAAAACAGCGAAGCGTACCCGACGAAACCAGCGGGCATCCTGCGAGACACATCCTCGCCCCTCATCGACAGCCAGTACGTGGCCCTACCGAGCCCCCACGCCACGAGGGATTGGGCCGCAACTATAGGAGAAAAGAGGGACAGCAGCAACGACATACCCAAAAACAGAGGCGATGAGTAACAGCTGCCTTGCGCTGCTCCGGCGAAGCTCCGGCTGAGAACCGCCAGGGGCCTCCCCTGCACCGGCTCGGGCTCAGGGGCCGCAAAGAGCTTCGACCAATCCGCCTTGCGTGGCTTCGCCCCCCACGCTGCCGTCCCTGCGGCGGCTGGTCTTGCATCGGCTGCCGTGCCCCACCCAAACGCCGCCGGGGAGCCGCTGCGGGTCGTCGTCGTCTTCTTGCGGCCGCCGCCGCTGCTGCTGCTGTCCCCACTCGAGTAAGAGGCGCTCCTCTCCATGCGGTTCCTGACTTGGGCTACCTCGCCGAGGATGGTCGTCGAGCGGAGGGCCGGCGGCGCGGGGACGAAGGCCGCCACGGCGGACGCGACGAGGACGACCTGGAGGATGATGACGGCCGCGGAGTTTTGTTTGGTCATTTTAAAGTCTCGAGTGATGTGACCCTGTGTGGTCGACGCGGGTGATGACGATTCTTGATGTAGCCAACAGAGAGAGGGGTAGCAAGTGGCGGGGTCCTCTTGTGTGGGCCTAGTGTTGGTGTTCTCGCGCTGGGAATGGGAGAGAGTGGGTGCGTGCGTTCGGCTCGTTTTGATTTGTGACGCGCCGCGAAGGCGGATGGATTACTACATTTACATGAAACGGGGGTCGTCGACGGTTCAACGGCTCGATGTTGATGACCCTTCCTTTTCGTTCAAAACCCCCCTCACCAATACACCATGAAATAAGTTCTCAGAACGTTCTCGGACCCGGATGATTAGCTCTCGGAACTTCCATTTCAAATGTGGTTCCCTCTGCTGCCGTGCATATGCGTAGATACTGCTCCCCTCTCTACTGTTGAAGCCCGTGTGGAAGCTTGTGGACTGCTGTGGACGTATATGGGTGGATGCCACAAACCCACAATCATCAACACACCTGTGGTGTTTGCTCGAGATGTTCCACGATACAATGTATCTGCGCCACGGGTGTGCCGTCAGCTATAGTCTAACGGTGTTGAGTTGTGGCAGACACTCCCTCTTACAGAATAAATCTCTTGTCCATGCCCTCGAAATATTGAAAAAGATCTCGCGTTTTGAACCAATCCCGGATGGCTACAGAAGATTGTGTAGACTAGATGTAGGTTAGAGGCCAAGTAGTTCTGAAGATCCCGTGATGTGCACGGCGCTGACCACTTTCTCGTCGTGGAAGGCACCCCACGCACCATCGCAGAATACCATTAGAAGAAGGAACGTATCTCAACTCGAACTACATATGCCTGTTGGCTTCAAGCGTAGCTCTGGCCGCTTGCCAGACTGCACTCTTTGCGTATCCTCACCAAGTCGGTTTCGTTAGCCCCCAGCGCAAACCGCGCCCCCCCCCCCCCCCCCCAAACGTTGCTGCACTGCTGACGCCACCTGCATGCTCCCCTCTTCGTGTGGGTTCAATCAAGCCATGATGTCGACGTGCGTACGTAGAGTCTGCATGGATTCCAAACGACAACATATTTTCGTTTTCGGACCCCCGCACCAACCCCACCTCCTTGCCACATGCCGTCAACCCTCAAGCGCCGCAAGCATATTTAGCTCTTGGCCTTGCTCTTGCCGCATCCGACATCACCCCAAGTACCGGTCGCAAACCGTAGAACTTGGTGCTACGTACACCAAAATCCGCAGAACAAGAGACGAAAGCAGGCATACCTGCACAACAACGAAGGCTCTTCGTGCGCACAACACAAGTGTGCGGCCTCGAGCGGCCAACACAAGAGCCACGTGGTAGGTACGGTGCCGACGACACGAGGCGGAGGACGGATTGAAAACCCTTGCACAGCAACTGACAGGCGCGACCTTCTTCGGCACAAGGGCGACACTCCAAAAACAAAAAACACATCACAGCAGAAACATCTCTAATGAGCCACCCTCGCTAGACACGTGCTCTACCAACAACCGAAAAACCTTGAACCAAAGAGTTACACCGAATCGGCGGGCCGAGCCAGAGAGGGCGGCAGGCAACTGGAAGAGGTAGTATAGAAGGCATTCCCTTGTCTTTTGCTCCTTACGACTCAGCCCAAACATGACGTCCATGTTCCGTACCAATCCGAGAAATACACGACACTACGAAATCCGACGGTTACTTGGCGCACCAGCACAGGAAACGTGTAACGACACCAGAACTCGCGGTACAGTACAAACGTACACCAGCTGCCTTCACTACACCAGACCACCTTCACGCGCCCCGCTTGCAACGCGTACAACAGGCTTTTCGATCGCTCGTTCTAGTCGTCGCCCCTCCCACCCGCCTCCCCCTCTCCCCGTTACTCAAGTTCCACCGTGGCTCCTACCGCCTCTAGCTTGGCCTTCATTGCCTCCGCCTCATCCTCCTTCAAGTCTTCCTTCACCACCTATGTTTAGTTTAGCACGCAACGAAATCGATTTTAGTTTCAAGTATTGAGGCATTATGCGTCGGGATCCAGGCCACGAGACATAGGGGGGGGGGGGGGGGGGGGGGTCCTAATCGTGGGTGGCGGAATCCTTTAAACCTTGGCCTCCCCTCCCTTC